GAAACCTTAGGCACCACAGCGAGGATGTACCTGAAGACACCAGAGGGATGGTTATGCTATCTAGCTGATATACAATGAAAAGAACATTTTAAGTAGTTGCCATTTGTTTGTATCTGAATGAAAGAAACAGCTTTAATCAAAGAGAAATGTCAAGACCTTTCTGGGATAAAAAAGAATAAAGCAATAAAAAAAAGCCATAACAAAAAAGCATATTTTCTTGACAGGCTGGAAAGTGGCCTTTCAGGCTCGGGATCCAAAGCTAGAGCCTCCATGTCTCTGTTCCACAACTCCAGCTACACTGAGACTTATCCAGCAGGCCAGGTCATCCTGCCAGTGGGGTCACCGTTGTACGTGGGCGTTTCTGTGGAGGAGAGAGATCCACGCTTTGCAGTCGTTCTGGAAGACTGCCATGCCACTCACTCATCAAACCCTGACGACCCCATGAGATACTATCTCATCCAGAACAAGTAAGTGTCCCTCTAGAGCACCAGCAGATGGTTTGTGGAGGATAATATAAATGGGAAAAAGTTAAATGTATAGAGATGTGTAATAGCCCTGATGACCCTCTCCATCCTCTCTGCCAGGTGTCCCACTGACCGCCAACAGGTGTCAGTGACTGAGAGCGGCTCGTCCCTGCAAGCTCGTTTCTCTGCCCTGTTGTTCCTGCTCCAGAATGAATACCGAGACATTTTCCTTCATTGCAGCCTCAGCCTGTGTGACCAAAGGAGCTTCTCCTGTGTTCCAGTAAGTCACACATGTCACTTCAACAATAGCATTGTCAATCCATGTTCAATGCTGCTTAAACACTGGGATTTGATGGTATCTCTCTTTTTACACCCTCTCCCACCATGTAGCATTGCACAAGTAGGACGTACCGCTCTGTTTCCAGCTCTGATCCTTTGATGCCCCTCACCGTTGGACCAATCAGTTGTGAGTATGAATGATAATTTGGTCTCAGGGCCGATGTCTCAAAACAATGAACTATATGGAATTAATAACCATGTTTTTTCTCTTTTTTATTTATCTTTAGGGGACAAGTCACCTTCGGGAGCTGGTAACACACAGTTATAATACAAACACATTGCATATTGTGATTTTGTTTGGTTACTAAAAACCAAAAAAACCCATGGGGTTTAAAATAAAAATGATACCAAAAGCTACATTCTGCTGTGTTTATTTCTAGCACAGGTTGATTTGACAGTGTGTGTGTGTATATATATATATATATATATATATATATATATATATATGTATGTGTGTGTGATATAAAATCACTTTGTTTAAAAACAAAACCTTGAACCTTGATGGTGGAACATGCACTAGTCAACAAAAAATGTAAAACCAAATTGCAACTATGAGGTCTCAAACCAACTAAGCAAAATCTTGGGTGTTGATGTTGGGCTGAAACTGACTAACAGTTTGGTGTGTCACATGCAGTTTTCATGCATAATAACCACAGAAGAAACCTTTTTCAAATCCTGTCCTTTTGTGCAAAAACATGTAGGCTACACTATATTGCCAAAAGTTTTGGGCCACCTGCCTTTACATGCACATGAAGTTTAATGACATCCCGTTCTTAACCCGTTTAATGCGGAGTTGGCCCACCCTTTGCAGCTAAAACAGCGTCAACTCTTCTGGGAAGGCTGTCCACAAGGTTTAGGAGTGTAGTCACAGGAATTTTTGACCATTCTAGAAGCACATTTGTGAGGTCAGGCACAGATGTTGGACGAGAAGGCCTGGCCTGGCCTCCAATTCATCTCAAAGGTGTTCTATCAGGTTGAGGTCAGGACTCTGTGCAGGCCAGTCAAGTTCTCCACACCAAACCCGCTCATCATGTCTTTATGGACCTTGCTTTGTGCACTGGTGCGCAGTCATGTTGGACAGGAAGGAGCTATCCCCAAACTGTTTCCACAACTTTGGGAGCATGAAATTGTCCAAACTGTCTTGCTATGCTGAAGCATTAACTGTTACGGTGGGTGTGGGTTGGTGAGGCAGGGTTGAGCAGGTTGGAGGACCCAAACACAGGACACAGAGCAGGTATAGTTCAGTGGTTTAATTAAACAAACAAAAGGCGAGCACACTTACATACTGAGTGGCTGAGTCCATAAAAAGCCATAATGAGAAACTAAACCAAAATCCAACACAAGTAATCCAAAACACCAAGAGCAGAGACTAGAAAGACAAAATACTGACAAGACAGGAGCCACAACTGATAGGGAGTAACACCAACAATGACCAGACAAGGGCTGAACAGAAAGACCACACATATATACCAGGGATAACGAGCAGGGCGGGAGCAACACAGGTGACAGACATGAGGCTAACGAGGGAGGCAGAGAGACAGCAGGAAAACAGAGAGGCAGGCAGGCAGAGACAACAGGGGGTAACAGAGAGAACACTTAGACAAGCAGTCATGGGTGAATAACCAAGAATGCACAGGTACGAGCTAAACAGAACCAGTAAATGAACAAGGGAATACACAAGACAAAACCGGGAACACAAGAGCAGGAGTAAACACAAAAGATATTAACTAATGTACAGGACTAGGAACTAACTGAACAAGACTACACAGAGAAACACAGAACCAAAAACAGACTTAAACAGGAAAGACATGAACACAAAAACCACACTCCTAACATTAACAGTTCCTTTCACTGGAACTAAGGGGCCAAGTCCAACCCCTGAAAAACAACCCCAACCATAATTCCCCCTCCACCAGACTTTACACTTGGCACAATGCAGTCAGGGAATTACTGTTCTCCTGGCAACTGCCAAACCCAGACTCATCCATCGGATCGCCAGACAGAAGCGTGATTCGTTACTCCAGAGAACAGGTCTCCACTGCTCTAGTGTCCAGTGGCAGCGTGCTTTACACCACTGCAGCCAACGCTTTGCATTGCACTTTGTTATAATACAACTAACAGTTGACCATGGACTATATAGTGAGGAAATTTCATGAATGGACTTATTGCACAGGTAGTAACCTATCACAGTACCACGCTTCACTGAGCTCCTAAGAGCGACCCATTCTTTCAAAATGTGTGTAGAAGCAGTCTGCATGCCTAGATGCTTGATTTTATACAAATGTGGCCATGGAAGTGGTTGGAACACCTGAATTCAATGATTCGGAGCGGTGTCCTAAAACATTTGGCAATATAGTGTATTTTATTAAACTGGATTACAGGCATGAAACCATGCCTGGCTAACTGCCACAAATTATATTCAAACAGAAGTCCCTTTACTATCTGACATACTTATCACAATCAAAAAATTCTGTTTACTTTAAAATGTCGGAAGCATTTTTGACATATATTGACTCAGATCGGGCCTGCAACCTGATCAGGGTATCAGTTTCACCTGGGTTGTTTTGTTTCATGTGCACACAAACATGCTTATGTACAGTACTCACCAATAATAATAATAATCTTTATTTGTAGAGCACTTTTCAAAAACAAGTTACAAAGTGCTTTAACAAGTGTAAAGACAATAATACCCAAAAGACAATAATACAAAAAAATACAAGATAAAAGCATGAAAACATTGAAAAGACTAAAATACATGTTTAAGATAAATATAAAATCAGTAAAATAGAATAAAATAAAAGGGATAAAATAAAGTCAAATAAAATCGGGAAAGGCTCTCCTATAAAAGTATGTTTTAAGAAGGGACTTAAAAGAGTTCACTGACTCAGCCGACCTGATTTCCTCGGGCAGGCTGTTCCAGAGCCTCGGGGCCCTGACAGCAGACGCTCTGTCCCCTTTAGTTTTCAGTCGAGACTCTGGAACAGACAACAGACTTCTGCCCGAGGATCTCAAGGTACGTGCTGGTGTGTATGGGACTAAAAGTTCAGAAATATAACAAGGCGAGAGGCCATGAAGAGCTTTAAAAGTGATCAATAAAATGTTAAAGTCAATTCTAAAACATACTGGGAGCCAGTGTAATGAAGCTAAAATAGGAGTAATGTGGTCATATTTCTTTGTTCTGGTTAAAAGCCTGGCAGCTGAGTTCTGGACAGTCTGGAGTCGATCAATAAATTTTTGGGTTAAACAGGTAAAAAGGCTGTTGCAATAATCCAGGCGTGATGAGACGAAGGCGTGTAAAATGGTCTTGGTGTCCTTAAAAGTTAACATAGATCGAATTTTTGCTATATTTCTAAGTTGATAAAAACATGATTGAACAAGCTTTGTGGTGTGCTGCTCGAAATTTAAATTACAAACCAAACAAACCAAGCACCAAGGTTCTTACAGGCTTAATGTGATTTACTAGGGAACCAGCAGATGGCAGTTTTGTCATCTTCTGGGACGCGATGACCAGGATTTCTGTTTTGTCTGAGTTCAGCAATATGTTTCTTCTAATATATATATTTTTTAACTTTGGTTGTTGATTGTGTAATCTGAGATGTGGCGTTCTGTTCTTATTCGTTTGATTGGTGAGAGCTGTCATATCCTCTTTTTATTTTTATTATATCGACATTAAAATATTCAAGTTTCAAAATAATTGGATCTGTCTCACATTAGATCATGTCCTGGGACCATCTGTTATCACATGCATGTGAGCAGCGATATCCTCGTAGTCCATTTGCCATTTTTAGATATATAACGTATCAGCCTTGGTATTGATATTGTTCATCCTGGACCTGGTATCCGATCCACACCAACTGTGTGGTGTTGACCACCACAGCTTTCACTTGCTTTCTGGTCTGGTGGGTGTGAGTGCAATAAATTCAAGCAACAAAATGTACACTCATATTTAACATGTCTTATTTAAAATAGTAACAAAGTGGTAAGTTAAATAAAGTGGTGAGTAACCATAGTGTTAGTGGTTGTTCACCTCCAGCTGAAGGTCACAGGATCCACTCCTGCTCTGCTCTCTAGGAAACTCATAATAATGGCCAGCGAATGCAGGGGGGCGTGGATTTCTAGCCACTTTTTGATTGACATGCCTAGCGCCCAATAGAAAGGCGTGCTGGCACAGAGGAGGCCGGGCATCGAGTGACCAATGTTTTCCATCTCATAGTCTTCGTTTTCTAAAGGAAACAACGGGACAGTGTCTACTAAAAAGTTACACAGTGGAGGACACACCCGCCCGTGTAACGTTGTGGCGCTCTTGTAAATTTTACGCAAAACAGTGGCAGTAAGTGTGAGTATGCAGCTAAATGAGAGACTGGGTTTGACAGAGCATTACAGATACCGTACATGTGATTTGCTGCTATGTTTCGTCCCACACACGAATATTGTCTGGCTCTGCAGGTGTCCGTGGCTGCTGCTGAGCTGAGAAACTTCTGTCTGCAAAATGCCTCCAAGGACCCTCTCCTGGTCGGGGTCCCCTCTAGTGATAATCCCTTCAGACCCCCTAAGTCCTGCTCCCTGTTCTGAGGTAGGTCTGCTCGTCCCTCCACTGAGGCTGCAGGATGGTGAGTTAATATGTGCAGTTAATTACATTAGGGAAGAAATTAATTACACATTCACAGTTTACACTGAAACCAGTCTACTAAATTTAGGCAGGTGCTATAAAGTCCCACTAGAGAAGCAGTATAAAAGGTCTAATATTTCACATGTCTTGACTTTATTGAACCCTGCATACAGGTTTGGGGCTAGATTAATTAGCAAATTATTTTCTTGACTAACCATTTTGTCTATTAACAGCATTTGACCATCACAGGTTACCAATGTGACATCTCCAGATTGATCTTTTTGTCCAACTAACTGCCCACAACCTAAATATATTATATATTTACATGTAGTAAATATGATTTAAAATGAACAAATAGCCAAAACCTGACAATGGAGAAGCTGGTACAAGCACATGTTTGACATTTTTGCTTGAAAAACGACTCAAAAGATTAATAGACTATTAAAATAATTGCAGATTAAGTTTCCCTCAGTGGAATAAGAATGGGATAATTGACAAATTGTTTCAGCTCCAATTATGTTGCTAATTTAGGCCGCTGGTTCTGTGCCTATTTATTTTATTGTGCTGTACTATGCTTTGACCTCTGCTATAATTTATTTATTAATATAGATGCTTGACCACCTTGTGAAGGCAAAAGCAAGTTTACCTGTTGTGGATAAATTCTAATCTAATATCTAATTATACTTTTGTTACAAATACAACAATTAATCAATAAGTCAATTGACAGAAATTAATTGGCAACTATTTTAATAACTAATTGTATACATCATTTGTAAAGCAAAAGTGCCAAACATTTGATTTTTCCAGCTTCTGTGAGTTTGGTGCTTTCTCTTTTATATAAGGTGATTGATTTCTCTTATTGTTTTGTTTGTAAAGAAATGTCGTCAAGGCTGTGGCAAAAGTGTTTTGACTTTGAAAATTACTTGAATTGAATTACATTATGAACCTAAAATGAAGGGTTTTTACTGAATAAAATAAATATTTTAAACATTAGGTCGTATTTGAATTACATTTCTAATGAAATTACATTACTTTGAGATCCTGTTGATCTGCATCGAAACACTGACGTAAAGTCTTTGACTCATTGCAGTAAAACAATAAAACATGATCACTTCCAAGGGGGGTAAACAATTTTCATAGGCACAGTAAACTTTTTTTTCAAACCATTAAGGATTGTAATGGGAATTTCATGAGAACCATCTTTAAAACACTGCCATGTAACTAATCTCACTAGGGGCCTCCAGGGGTCAATGGAAGGTAAATGTGTGTGATGCTTTAACATATGTCCAGTGGGGTCAGGACTTTTAAGTGTTCACCACATGTACCTTGGACATGGGGTCTTTCTATAGATCCAGATTGAGTGTCCCCTCGGGAACGCTCAAAGACACCTTGATGAGATAGTACTCCGACCCTGAGACTAAGATAAAAGCTGCATGAGCTGTTACACTGCAGCTCACTTGGATGATACTCTCTGATGCGTATGTGTCCCTGTGAGTTCCTTCTGCAGAAGACTTGAATAAAATTCACTGAAAGACAAGTGTTTGCCTGAGCTGTTTATTTAAACATCCTTTTCCCACCACATCATATAAATCATTTGATTTTCTATACAATCCTACATCATATTAACTTTAAATTAACAACAACAGAAGAGTAAAAGTCCCAAGCTGGAGTCACATGGACAAAAGAATGAATGAATTTCTCCATCCATTATCCTGAAATTGTAATCCATCAGCTGTTTCGAACTTCAGCAATTATGTCGTCATGAAAGGGAAGCGGCTGGACTACAAATGAGCTGTTTTCTGGCAGTTCAGAGCAGTGTTTTCTGTGGGAGATGGGAACTCCCTTTGGGGTGGACTTTGGGCTTTTTCACTTTGCAAACTCAATAAAGGAGAGGGAAAAAGGCAAAAAGCATTTACATTTACTCATTTAACAGACACTTTTATCCAAAGTGACTTACATTTGATGAACAACATACAACATTTGAGGAACAACATACAGCATTATACCACCTCTTTAACATAGTTTTATTGAGCCCAGCCAAGGAGATACAGTGCCAGCATTCAACATTTGAACACGTTAAATGTCAACACCAAATCTGAACGATAACAACAGAGCATTTGGTCACTTTATGTTTCTGTCTTCCCCCTAGTTCCTGTAGGTTTTCCTCTTAGTTCATCTTTAGCTGGCCTTTACCTAGAACAACAAATCTATCTGATGTTTAGACTCCGATGCTTCGTCAAATTGGAATCAAATTCTATCCATGAGTTGTACGCTAATCTGTGGAGTCAGTAAGTTTTTGTTAAACATTTTGTAAGACTCAACCTTGTCAGATTCCCAGAGAACACTGATTTTTGCCAGCCTGACGCCTGAGCTACTGTCTCTACCTTATCAGTCTAACTGTTGTCTCCCTAACAAGGACAGTTACATGTGAGGAAAATAAGTATTTGAACACCCTGCTATTTTGCAAGTTCTCCCACTTAGAAATCATGGAGGGGTCTGAAATTGTCATCGTAGGTGCATGTCCACTGTGAGAGACATAATCTAAAAAACAAAATCCAGAAAACACAATGTATGATTTTTTATTTTTTTTTATTACTATTTATTTGTATGATACAGCTGCAAATAAGTATTTGAACACCTGTCTATCAGCTAGAATTCTGACTCTCAAAGACCTGTTAGTCTGCCTTCACAATGTCCACCTCCACTCCATTTATTATCCTGAATTAGATGCACCTGTTTGAGGTCGTTAGCTGCATAAAGACACCTGTCCACCCCATACAATCAGTAAGAATCCAACTACTAACATGGCCAAGACCAAAGAGCTGTCCAAAGACACTAGAGACAAAATTGTACACCTCCGCAAGGCTGGAAAGGGCTACGGGGAAATTGCCAAGCAGCTTGGTGAAAAAAGGTCCTCTGTTGGAGCAATCATTAGAAAATGGAAGAAGCTAAACATGACTGTCAATCTCCCTCGGACTGGGGGTCCATGCAAGATCTCACCTCGTGGGGTCTCAATGATCCTAAGAAAGGTGAGAAATCAGCCCAGAACTACACGGGAGGAGCTGGTCAATGACCTGAAAAGAGCTGGGACCCCCGTTTCCAAGGTTACTGTTGGTAATACACTAAGACGTCATGGTTTGAAATCACGCATGGCACGGAAGGTTCCCCTGCTTAAACCAGCACATGTCAGGGCCCGTCTTCAGTTTGCCAATGACCATTTGGATGATCCAGAGGATGACCGGGGCCATGTATTGCGAGATTTCAGGGAACAACCTCCTTCCCTCAGTTAGAGAGCATTGAAGATGGGTCGAGGCCAGGTCTTCCAACATGACAATGACCCGAAGCACACAGCCAGGATAACCAAGGAGTGGCTCTGTAAGAAGCATCAAGTTTCTGGCGTGGCCTAGCCAGTCTCCAGACCTAAACCCAATAGAGAATCTTTGGAGGGAGCTCAAACTCCGTGTTTCTCAGCGACAGCCCAGAAACCTGACTGATCTAGAGAAGATCTGTGTGGAGGAGTGGGCCAAAATCCCTCCTGCAGTGTGTGCAAACCTGGTGAAAAACTACAGGAAACGTTTGACCTCTGTAATTGCAAACAAAGGCTACTGTACCAAATATTAACATTGATTTTCTCAGGTGTTCAAATACTTATTTGCAGCTGTATCATACAAATAAATAGTTAAAAAATCATACATTGTGATTTCTGGATTTTGTTTTTTAGATTATGTCTCTCACAGTGGACATGCACCTACGATGACAATTTCAGACCCCTCCATGATTTCTAAGTGGGAGAACTTGCAAAATAGCAGGGTGTTCAAATACTTATTTTCCTCACTGTACATGTGAGGAAATAACTACAGCTGGAAGGTCAGTGAACACTTGTGGGGTCAGCTAATGACTCCAAGCTAGACCTGTCTTACTTTTCCTTGTCACATCAATTAAGACACCTGAGAATGTTCTATAACATTTATGACAAAGATCAAAACACCCAATGTAACAGTTTTTCTCAATTGTTTACACACAAATTCTGGTACTTGAGACACAATGACCACAACATGTAACTCATTCACCAACCCCCTGAACCAATTCTGCTAAACTACAAGCACAACCTACCAGCTTTACACTCAAATTGCAGTTCTAAAACACACTTTTTTCAAAACACTACACACAATTCTCTGCTTTTGGCACAAGTTTCATGCAGAAAATATCTTGTTTTCACAAGGAACACACTGCCATTCAAATATGCACACTGACTCATCACAAGGGCAAACACCCGTCACACAGTTTTTTCTAATTAGCAATCAGAGCTTTAGCATAAAAGGGCAACAGGTGAGCTCTTCAATGGAGCAATGGATGCCAACATTGGAAACGGGGGACGAGGACGGGGAAGGCCAAGGACCGTAATCTCTGATGAGATCCTAGCCACTTTGGTTGATCATGTGGTCAACCATGCTCTAACAATGAGGGAGGCTGGGCAAAGAGTACAGCCAAATCGGAGCAGGTACACTGTAGCATCCATCATCCGGACTTTCCGAAATAAGAATAGGTAAGAAATCTACTCTCACTAGCAAATTGCAGTACTGCATATCAATACAGTACTCAACGAGTACAGTAGTACAGTATTGCCTGTGGACTGTTCTGTAGGACTGTAAAAATACTGTAAAGTATGTTACAAGTATTTAGGAAATGTATACCTACTTTGTATTTACAGTATTTTACTATTTGTTTGGCAGAACTGAAAGATTTCCAACACAAGGTGGTCGGGAATGTCTTCTGTCTCCTGGACAGGAAACTGAAATCATAAACATGGTCCTAGAAAACAACCATAACATTACAGCAAATACAAAGAAAAATTATAGAAAACAATGACATATTTCAAAATATTGATAGGGTAAGCTTATCAACACTGGACCGTGTCTTGCGCAGAAATCATCTCAGGATGAAGCAGGTCTACAGGGTCCCATTTG